ATATTGGCTTAATATGATAGGTGAATTGAGGTTAGTGAATAAGTCATAGTGTAAAACAAACCAGTGTGATTGTTTGTCGCGAGATCAGTTACGGCAGCAAAGATCATCATTAACTTGATATCTCAAAACGGAAAATAAAATCCACATGTTGCTCCAATATCAGCCCACGCGGAAAATGGTCTCAGCAATCATTACTGGGTAAGGTGTTCGAGCTTCGTCAATGTTTTCAAAAGCGCCTGAATAGAGAGGTGGCCAACAAGCAAGCTGCTTTGGTCTTAAATTATTTCGCCGCAAATAAAAAAACTGCGCTCCACTCACAAGGTTGATTCAAGTCTGGCAACTGTTCGACTTGTGGGAAAGCTTCAAAATAAGATAGCATGTCATTCGACGCCAAGGTTTGTGTTCATCGGCAGAGTCAGGTTTAAATGTGACGGCAACAAATCTGAAGATCGAGGTTTTATATTTAAGTCGAGCTCTTGGGTGTAGTTATCAGACACTTTTTGGTTTTCAGTTAACAGTTATCGATAAAACGGTTCGTTCAGCTCGTTTTTATGGTTCGATGCTTGGAAACTTCGGCATCATACTTCTTCGACCGAGCAGAATAATTGTGTTTTTTCCATTGGTCAGAATCTTGAACCTCGGTCTCCCAAATGATTTACAGAACACCCGAGGACACCAGAGTAAAAACTCGCTCAGCCACTTTCAGTCAACTTGGAGCAAAAATTTACGAAACATTTTCTTCGATACCTTTTGTAATCTTTCAGTTAATAAACGAAAAATAGGACCCCCAAATAAATTTTAAAGGGAGCACGATGACCTCACCGGCAATGTTCGCTCGATATATTCTGGGAAGGCCCCAGCGCCGAGTTATATCATTCGATTGACCAACGACTGACTGACGCGCTAAGATGAGCACGTCATTCGACGCCAAGGTTTGTGTTCATCGTCAGAGTCAGATTTAAATGTGACTGCAACAAATATCAAGATCGAGCACGTTGGTGTGGCCATCAGTGCATGGTTTTATGTCACAAATAACTCACGGATCAACGCTAATAGTTGCTGTCAATTACCTTATTCTGGTAAAACCCCTCTCAGGCAGTTCATAACATATCAGACTCGATTATGCAAGAGTCTTCTGCGAAGCCCACCACACTTAGCGACATGCTAATTTGGCAGAGGGCGATATATTGGCATCGTCAGAAATACTGACTTGTTGTGGAGAGGAGACTGTAAACCGCTGATGGACGGTCGCTGAACGGCTTACGGTAGATGGTGAAAAATGAAAGTTAAGTTACTCAGTTTGCCCTTTTGAAAGGTAAAAAAAAAAATAAATAGAAAGACAATAGATGAATAAAGTACAATGTACAGATCATCGTGAGCTTGATATTTTGGTACTGACTTCGTATATTGGCTTAATGTGATAGGTAAATTGAGGTTAGTGAGTAAAAGGTCATAGTGTACATCAAACCAATGTAATTGTTTGTCGCGAGATCAGTTACGACAGCACTGATCATCATTAGCTTGGGTTTTTGGTAACGATTTCGTATATTGGCCCAGTAATGGAGTAGATACTGTGATAAATATGTCAACGTGTCGTAAATGTAAACACTCACAAAATCAGAGTTAAAGTTGATTTACGGGAGGGGTGGGAGTGCAGCAGTTCTGCAGATACTGCTCTTTGGCCTTATAGACGTACAGACAAACAATTAAATATCTGAACACGAGCAAACACTTTGCACATTGACGAAACGCTCCTTTGCAGGAAATGAAAAATAAAAAAAAGTTTGTAGTTTTTTTTTAATCATTATTTAATAATCATTTATTGGCATTTATTGCGCAATTATCAATGTAAATTTTTGAATTTTGATTTTAAATTACCAAACAAACAATTCTGACGAGTTTCTGTCACTGGTTTTATTTCACAGTGTTTCATATTTTTATCTATATTTTCCGTGTCTACTGGTCGCTCACCCCTTAATTACAATCGCTCGTAAAAGTGGTCGTTCGTTGCCATAGTAGTGCAGTGGCCTTGACCTTCGATCGTGACTAATCAACCTTGATCACAGTCACATTTTTCAATATATCTGTCTGTGTTTTTATTTTGCAATGTTTTATATTTTCATCTATACTTCCGCGTCCACCGTCAGGTTCTGATGTAATATATCAAACACGAGGAAGAGTGTTTTATCCGATATCCAAACACCGAGAAGTGGTTGAGAAAACGAGGCGCGGCCGAGTTTTTTTTAACCAACTTCAAGGTGTTTGGATATCGGATGAAACACCCTTTCGAATGTTTGATATAGCTTCTCAAACCATTAATAATTCTTGGAGAAAATCAAAGCAAAAGTTCACCAGATTTTATGATTATTAAGATCACATATCCAAACCTCCTTCACGGTTGTAATTTCCTTTGTTTTCTCAGCATGAATTATTAATGAGTTTGAGAATTCTATATACTATATAGCTCCTAAAAGTCGCCATTTGTTACCATAACAACGCAATGGCCTTCAATAAAGATCCTTGACCTTTCATCGTGTTCAATCAAAAATGATCATTCAAGTTTTTCATGATTATTAGTCAAAAACAGATAAACTTGAAATTTGACTTATCAAACCCAGTCGTAAAGGTCATATAAAAGAAATATTGCCTTTCATACTAGCATTATCCTGTCCTCGAAACCCCGAGCTATCTAGCGAGAGAGAACACAGGCAATCTAAACATTGCCTGTGGCTTGAAAAGGATTTGACCAATTAACAGGAATTAAGAATTAAAGGAAATGTTACTACATCCACTATTTTATTGGTTGTTGTTTCTGGTATTTTAACCTCAAGGCGAGGTCTAACGTACATTCCTGAGGGCATCAGTCGGCCAATCATCTCGCGAGTGTATCGTGCCCTCTAATGGGATCACTGAATTTGGACATAGGCTGTTTATATCTGGTTTTATCCGCATTTAAACAGAGCACTCGAGTCAAGATTTACTGTCATTTCCCTTGAGATTACTTACCAGTTGTGTTTGATTTTGCTCGCGCGCGATGTAAGAATAAGGTTTACGACCAAGGTGTCGTCTTCGCAGGAGGCTAGAGTTGCTAAATCGGCGATGTCCGATCAGACTTTTACATTTTCCGTGAAAAAATCAGAGGTGTCTAATGGAGCGGCTATCACGGGTTCGGAGAGCGAGGGAGCTGTCGGCGGAGAACCGCTCAAAAAATCAAGTACACTCAACGTTAACCGCGAACAAATTGAAGATTTCACCAGCGTCCGCGACAAAATCTTCCCTTAACTTAACTTCTTTCGATCTCGCACCGAGCTGGGAAGCAATCTGAGAGCCTACAAACTTTACCCTGAGGGAACTGTCGCAACTTTACGTCAGTACCTTGCTCAACACCTACAGCAGAGCGCATGAATGATAACTCATCTTGATCGTGTTCATATTGAGCACCCTTTACCCAACCCCGCTGCCTTTTGTGTTGCTAGTGACGAAGTATTAGTATGTGCTGATGACGAGCAAAGAGCTATTATTCAAGTTACTTCGGAAAAAGATGGAGTTCCTACCCGCGGAAAGTCCTTTAAATTGGTTCACTACCCAACAGATATAGCTGCAATAGAATCGCTGGCTGTTTGTGGCCGTTTAATTTATTTCGTTTCTGCAAATGTCCAATTACTGTAAGTGGTTTAATTCCCTTTTTTTTAGAAGGCGGACCAGTTGATATTGAATTAAAGAACAAGACCAATTCCTGCTTAGAAATCAAACGAGTTGTACCCTTTAGAAACTGTTTGCCCTCTACAGGTCCTGGTGCTTATTAGGTCAAATTATATAACCCAGTCGACAAGGTAGTAAGGATTCAAGTGGGAAGTGGTCAATGAGGAGATGAAGGTGGGACTGCAAAAAAAGGTGTACTTTTGTTAAACCACACGGAATTTGCACTGTGGGTGAAACAATATTCGTGAAGGATACGGCAGCAAGGAACGTGTAGCTCATCACTGAGTTGTCGGGTACAACACCATTCCTGACGCACCTCGGTCTATTGTATGATAGCTTCGAAATAACCTGCAGTGGGACTGTTGCCCAAGTATCACACCACGGAAAAAGGTGGAAAATGTGAATAAAATAAACACTTATCTCAAATCAACAGTTTCCAAAGTCAAAGAAGGCAACAATCTGAAAAAAATGGCAACCACAAATGGTCTTTAGGGCACAGTGTCACAGAAGACGTAACAGTCTGTTCAGCTTCTCTTGAGAGGAATTAACCGTCTCATAGAAAACATCAACACCATAAACCCAAAATTTGCGAAGCATATCGATTGGTCCACTATCCTTACTACTGTAGTAGAAAACCTCCATGATTTGTCGCATTTCAAACATGAGTACTTTGGAACTATCTCAAAGAAGTCCCTTAAACGGATTACAAAGTGGAAAGCCACTTATTTTACACATCCTGCGTCTTACTACCCTGTTCCTCGGACTAGTATGTCGTTCAGTGCCGCTAAATTTATTATCTCTTTGACAGCAGAGACTATTCCAAAAAGAGGCGGAAATCGTGAAAGAATGGGCAGAACATTACAGAACAGTGAAGAAGAGAACCGCTCGAAGCGAGACGACAAAAGACAAAGCAGGCGCTCTTCCGCCAGCTGTGTGCGAGAAGGCAAAATCTGGAACATGGATCGGGGTTTCTTTTCCAGATAGCCGCGTGAAAAGTTTAACCACTTCTGTGTCTAATGAATTAGTACTCCGATCCATATCATGTACAAAAGTCAACCTAACACTTCCCCCCCCCCCCCCCCCCCCCCCCCCCCCCCCCCCCCCCCGTATGACAAAAGCCTTAATCCGCAAATTGTTCTTTATTTTCAAGCATAGAGCCAAGATCAAGTGCCGGAGGAACAAGTATGGTGTCATAGTTTTATTCAATTCGATCCTGTGGGTGAAGTCGCGCGTCTGACCGCAAGCAATACAAATTACATTATCTCGAGCGGAAAACACAAATAAACCAACGCAGTTAGTTACTGTTTTTAGGGCCATCTAGTTTTATTTGTACACAGACTTTTTTCTCAAATCGGCCATTTTAAACACAGTTTCAATTGTAAAGTATATGCATGAGTATTAAGTATAAAGTATAGGCCGTTTTTCATATTAAAAAAATATATCACTGTTGTCCATCGACACAATGTCATTCACTTTCCCTGGAGAAAGCCAGTTCACCACAGGAACGCGGAAAATTTGTGGAAATCTGTTAAAAAGAATGAATGTCCAGTTAGCGAAAGAAGACATGCAGTAAATGTGACTTAACAGTGGCTTTTGTTTTAACCAGACCAACAAAATTTGCAGATGTCTCATCGTGTTTTGATGCAGCGATACACTCGTGCGTTTTTGGAAAGTTGACTAGACGAAGAAACGAAATGAAAACTTTGAAGTGACTTAGCCGAAAACGAAAAACATTACACCTACTTTGGATGGAAAGAGGTACACAATTGTGCGTAAATCCTACCGTACAGAAAGAACACCGAGGGGTTCCAGGAACGATTTGTCGTGTCTATTCAGAGCACAGAAAATGAAAATGTACTTGTATATACTTCCAGTGGTTTTGTTGTAGTGTAAGACTGCATAGAGATGTAGTAAAGACACAATCTTATCGGCCGAAGTGATAAGAGAAAGGAACTTTGGTTTTGAGGATCTTCCGAATTAATGGCACTATGTAAAAAGCATGTAATCTCAAGGCTATGATATCTTAAAGACCTTTTTACCTTAGTAAGCCTACTCAGGCAAGTCCACTGCGTCTTCAGTGGTAAACTGTAGCTCTGAATATGGTGAAATTTACGAACGTTAAGGAAATAGCAATAAAAGAATATGCTTAACAACATCTTGATTTCAAGTACCCTCTGAGCAGTATTCTTATTGAACGTGTACGGTAAATAGAAAAGTACATATTTTTTTAAATTTTCGCTGGATTGCTGGCACGAGTTGCTATTTTGGCTCCCAACCTCCGCCCGAAGGAAACTTCCGGCTTTCGTGAAAAGCCAAGAAAGAAAACAAAACACAAAATAGTTCAAGGAAGCGAAGAAAAAAGAAAAACTTAACTTTCAAGTTTTGTATAAGACAAAGTAAATCTTTCTTACGTTGCCTCCTAAAACGTTCGTCATGCATTTGTGGCTGTCGTCGTATCGCTTGTAATCCGCCGTAGGTTGTATTGTTACATGTACAATGTTGTCTTGCGCTTTCCTCTACACGAGGAAAAGGAAGTGTGGGTTCCCCCTCTACTGGTAAGGCTCTCTGATTCTCTCTGGCGTACTCCACACGAGCTCTTTCATTCCCTGATGGTCGGATGATTTTTACCATGTTGTAGAGTTTGATCACACAGCAGATAACAACAACTAATAGGACGACGCAAGCAGAACTGAGCATTTCGGTGATCATGACTGGGGAATAAGCTCCGGCTTCGATGCTATTACAGGCGTCCAAATAGAAATAGGGCAATATGCAAGAAGAGTTGGTCAGTAATTGCTCTTCTGCGAAATAAGGATTTATTGTAGTCGAGCTGAACTTACGAATTGTTGGTTTGCATGTGACGTCACCCCGGGATTTCACAATTTTTATCGGCCGTCTTTGTGTACAGGAAGTCATTACCATATGTCAAATCATCCACGTGTGTCAGTATTTTGGATTAACTAGTGCTATGTCAAGCATTATCGTGAGTGGCTCTGGGGAGGTGTGGTAAATGTATTTGAACCCTTTTATCTCGGGGTTTTTTTATTTTGAATTTAAATTTTTTTTTTATGATCTTCATGCTTCGAAGCACAGTCTGTCTCGCCTGTTCAGTTGTGGTTTTCCTGATAAGGCTTGTTTTCAGTTTAGATTACCTTTGTTCTGGGAGCTTCGGTTATATATCATTCGATTTGCCCCGATGAATTAGCTTACATTGCAAATATTCTAAAAATAGGGGAAACAATCCCCTAATGCGCCAATCACAAGTTCGCAATTTTTGCTTCGCTATGGAAACTTCAAACAAATAGC